GCAATTTTAATGGTCAGTAGTGTATGTATCACCCTGAATAACTTTCGTTCTTATAATCAGATTTACACGTACTATGTGTCAATCTTAATAATTTTGGGGGGTGGCTTCAAATATGCTAAATAATTAGTGCAAACTATTAATGAAGTTACGAAATTAGACACAAAAACTCATTATTTCTGAATATACATATATTTATCTTTTCATATTTGGATTTCTGATCCCTAAAATAGGGGGAAGACAAAATTTTGAAAAGATTGGATCATTAATTGGGGGGGGGGCTAATAAGTTATTTAATATTTGGCGATAGTCCTGAAAAACAGCCAAACTAAGTCACCGCCCCAACTGAATATTTTAAGATCACCCATAGACTTATTCAACAAAAGAATACCTAATTTTTTTCCGTTGCTAAGCAACCATCAAGTTCAGACAATAACAAAAAAAATGAAATAATGTTCTGTGATTGCTCGAAGAGGTTTATTTATAAAACTTTTCGAAGTTTCTAGGCAATGGACAATTTTTCCGCTTATTTTTGACCAAAAAGCAAAGATTTTTTTTCTTTTTAATCTCCTTCGAAAAGAAAATTTGAATCGAATTATAAATTATTTATGATTTTCTAAGCTTTTGGAATTTGAACTCCTTATCTAATATTATTTGAGTATTTTACGTTATTTTTATTTCATTTATACGAGGATTCCATAATAAAATCAAATTTACATATTGTTTAGTAACTCTAATGCAGATTGAGAAGGTTTTATATAATTTGCAACATTTCTTTTTTCTATAACTGAAGGAATTACTAAATGTTAAGGGGCAATTTAAAAACATTGAATCGTGTTATGTTTAAGAGTAACGTATAGAAATAATAATACGTTGCAAATTGTATAGTTCATTGTTGGAAAACTCACTTTATTCTGCCAAATATTTAGGCTACATGGTTTTCTTTGGATAAAGATGATTTGCAAATAGCATCCTGATGTTTCGATACATTCTGAAACTTATTTTCGCAAAGTTACCATGAAATGCTGCACATGTTCTTCAATTACGATAAGCTACATTTATCATCAAATACAGCTACTATGATCTCTGTGTTTTCTTACATTTATCTGATACGATACTCTACTTTTAAACAGAGTTCGTAAGATCCTTAAGATACTGAAATGTTGCCACAAAACTTTAAATGATAAAATATTCAATTTCATTAACTTAAAATATTTAGTTTCTAAATGTTAATTTTAAAGTTAAAGATAACTTCACAATTACAATATTGATACTACAGTTCTTTTACTTTTTTAAGGACCACATGAATCCTGTTAAAATATTAAAATGGTTTTATTTACTTTTACGAGCATAAAATCCTCATCAAAATAATGATCAAGACAAAAATGTAAAATAGTATAATTGATGATAAAAACTTCATTGGCTTCAAAAAATATGCAAAGGGAAATAAAAGTCGACATATTTCGAGTGTTCAAAAATAGGCACCCATTCACAAGACTCGCCAGGTGTGAATGACTTGACCAAATTATCTGTAGTCGAAGTGGTGTCGATGAAGCAATTGTCGATTAAATGACCGGACCAGCCCACGGTAATCTCTAATCCACATGTGCTCCCAGTAGAATTCTAAATGAGTAACGGCGTCTGTCAACGCAACCCAAACGACCAACCTACTTCAAATATTAAGAGAAGAAGCCCTCCGAAAAGGAATTGGAAGATTTTATCGTGGCAAGAACGCGACAGACTTACTACGATCTTTTGGAATGCCGATGACTAGTTCAACATTTTATGAACTAATCCAATAAAATATTGATTTATCTTTTGCCAATAAATGTAAAAACAATTAGAGACCATGCGATACAATTAAAGATCATTAGTCTATGCCCTAGAGTCAAGCCCAAGAGGCAGGGCAAAAAACTACAAACCTTTTTGGACTATGGAATTGTCTTCATTCAAAACTAAGAGATAATGGATGTATAGAAACAAAGCTTACAGGTGCTTAAGTTACTTTGAAAGCGAGCCATTCAGACATTACACACTTAAGAAAGAAAAAAAACTTGTTAAACAGTTTTGCTGCCAAAATCACCTTAAGAAAGGGTGACACTCGTGCCCATAAGTTCCTTTTGGCCTTAAACAACGAACATTATTCCGACATAAATAAATCTCGTTTCAAATGGGAAACATTTAGCCACCAATGGGGAAAATGCCTTCGCATTGGCAAAATACTATGCTGTTTGTAGACTGCAAAAGAATAAAAATAAAATATTCAAATCTTTTATAAGCTTCCACTGCCTTTTCAACAGTGATATCACAGGGAAATTATGCACACAGGGAAAGCAATCAAAGAAACCAAGCCTGCCAAAAGTGCTGTGCAGAATGATCTGCTTGAAGACTTTTTTTCCACTTGGTGGGATAATGCTAAACGTACAATCCTTATTTTCTTTAATACTATTTGAAAAACATACATTCCTGCTGAGTGGGGGGAAAAGATTTCATTGTCCCGATTTGAAACCATACAAAGACCTTGAACACGCAGCAAGTTACACTCCCATTTCTCTAACAAATGCCTGCAGCAAATAAATGGAGTGTATGATTGCAAACCGACTAATTTATTTCCTTAAAACTCGAAATAAAATTTGAGATTTAAAAGCTGGCTTTCACAAAAAGCGAGGACCAAAATCACAGACAACTCAAGAACAGACAACCTTTCTTTCACAGTGCAGGAGACTTCCTCTGCAACACTGATAGCAACTTATTTTGGCCTTTAAGAGACTAAACAGACGTCATCAATCTTTCTCTGAAAAAGCAGAAGACTTCATGTCCAAAGATAAAAAATATATCTCCTCCAACCAACATTTTTGCCTTCCAGAGACATTTCCACCAACTTTCAAAATCCCAACTATAAATCTCTCTATTGATGCCGAAGAAAAAATTATATTATTTCTGCACTTCTTTATGCCCACGCACTTGAAACCGTAGCTAATGGATATTAAAAAGATTTTTGACTCCGTATCTATACTGATAGCTCCTCCAAGAAGGATTCTTCATCTGGAGCAGGCTTCTATTGTGAAAATTTGCTCGAAAGCTAATGGCCAGATAGTTTATATGCCACAAACTTTTAAGCTGAGATTGAGGGAATCAGGCAGTCATCTATTCAACTATCCATTGCAAATACACTGCAGTGTCCATCATTAATTCATAATGAGCTATCCTTTTACTTTGCTCTTTTCAAAGCAGCCAATCGTAACCTGTAGAGGAAATAAAACAAAAAAATAATGAATGCATCAATAATAGTTGGGTGATTTTCTTCAATAGATTCTCAGCCATTGCAACATGTATGGAAATTAGAAAGCGAGCCGGCTGGTCAAACAAGGATGTCCTACAACCTTCTTTTGCCTATTTTTATAATCAAATTTCTTCCATCATTGCCAAGGCGACAAACAAATTTTTCAAAAACAATCAAACTGTTGATGCTGTGGGAAAAATAAGGTTTAGCCTTATTCTTGATCCTTTTATCAGGGACCTTCTGTGGCAGATTTTCTCCGCAAATGTCAGAATTGGCATTGGACATGACTACATCCAGAATCACCTTCGCTATATAGGCATTCCTGATTGCCCTGTGTGTTCCACAGAAGAGGTTATGAACTTTAATGACTTGATAGCTCGCTTATCCTTAGATACATTACTAATTCTTTGACCATTAACAGCTTTCACATGAAAGCTACCTTGTACTAGGCTGATAGAAGAAAAATGGCCAATGTGGAGGTCTTCTCTCCATGCAGGAAAAATAAAGTCTTTTATCAAGGCATTTTATGAAAATATCGAACCTAATACCTAAGTTAATATAAAAATAATAACTTTGTGAAATAAAATCGGATCAGTGTCAGTTTAATCAAGCTCATAAATAAATAACAATAATTAAAAAACAAAGCTATCGTCTAGATTCAGTGCACAATCAAAATGTTATACAATTACCTGGATGTGAGGGCTGCTTGGCATATGAATGACAAATTGGCAAATAAATATTAAAAATGATGATAATTTTTAATATGTAAGAGTTTATTTACTTTCTAATCTAGTATTACAGAGAAAAAAAATTTGTGAATTACTAAATCTTTGAAATAATATGTGTACCAAGTTTAAGAAATTGTAATTTAAATAATTTTGAAATCACGTCGAGCTTATTCGAAGGAATACTGTGTGTTTCAGCTAACTGTGTTTGTGTAAGCAGGGTACACGTTTTGTAAGTGAAGTATATTAACCCATCATAAATGCTTTTGCAAAAACTTATATTACAAATTACTACTTTTAAATCTAACACAATACTATTCTACCAATAAATAAACTACCAAGGAAAAAAATATGCATCTAGTAGTGAAAATTAATTTCAAATGTTTTAGATCTTGGAAAATTTCTAGTATTATTGCCTTAAAAAAATAACATTGTTTTCTCATCAATTGAAAATTAATAAAAAAATTGAAGTCAATTACTCTGTAATTGGTTTTAATTTCCCTTACATAACATTTAAGTTTTGAAAAAACACACAATAGAACCTTTTTTTTAAAAATGTTTAAATTTTTACATCTATACAGACTGGGTTAAAGAAACGAAATGTGCATTGTTGCACACAGCATGAGCATAGCTTAAAAGTTACAGACTAATTTCAGTTTTTTAAGGCACAGAGGATTAAACTGCACATATTTTTGAACTAAATTTTTATGGTACTTTAAACCCTCAAAGTGATTAAACATATGTAAAGTAATCAAATCATCTCATCAGTAGATTTTCAAAAATTTTAAAACATTTTAGAATTATTCAATATTTCTAGAAATTATAATTATTTACACATCATGATAGTCAAAATCATTTTAAATCTATTGAACTAAGAAATGCATTATAAAGCATAAATTTTGATACCTTCTGCCTGAAACAGGAAAAAAAATGACAACTATGAAAAAGAAATTGTCTCATAGAAAAGGAACATTTTTAAAAAAATTATAAAAATATAAATTTGGTAAAAAGATATTTATTTCTATTAAAAGTGATAATTTACAGAGTTACTTTGTGATGCTACAAATCATTACCAAATGACACGATGTTGATAAAGCACTATTCAATGATTGCTATCACAGCAATTTGAGCACCACAAAAACTATTCAAACAGTACAAAGTGATTTTTCAAAATAAAAACCACAGTAAAATATAATGATGTCCGTGCATCATCAACCTAATTATTATAATGAATACCACTTCAAAAGAGTTAATTAACAAAAATAAATAAAAACAAACAATTTTAATTTGTATCAGTCATATTATACAGGAAAGCATATAAACACATACAATATTTGTTAAGTGTACTTATAACACACAATGAAAATGACAAGACGAAGAAAAAAAATTAAATATTACCTTAAATTTTTATTTTCTTCAATCACTTAGCTATCAGTTTAAGCAATTTACCTGATAGCTAAAAAAATTACAATACAAAGAAAAGTTCTAATTCTGAGAAATAAAAAAAAAAGCATTGCTTTGTAGATAAATGTCAAAATATTTTTATTATTCCAGACACTATTTTCAGAAGATCTCTAACAGCAAGCTTATTGTCTAAAAACTTAAACCTTAATACGTAATAAAAAATTAGAAGAAAAAAAACACGAAATATGTGCACAAAAAGTATCACAGTTAGTATAATGCATGAACAATTAAACAGGAAAATATCACTAAAATTTACACATTGTTTATACATTTTTTCTTTAAAAAAAACTTTTAAAATACATAAAATAATTTAAATTATATGCACAGTTTCAGATTTAGAGATTTTAATTAAACAAATGACTAGCAAATTAGTTCATGAATTAAGAAAAATGTAGATGTATACATAAAATTTTAAATGCACATCAAATAAGATGAAGATTTAAAATTATAAGAAATGAAAAATATCAGTTTAAAAAATTAAGCAAGCAAAAAAATTATTTATTCTGTACAATGTGCACCACAGAGAACTACGAGATCATATTATTTAAGTGCACTTAGTAAATATAATTGTAAAAATTATTAAAATTAATTCACAGGTAACTATTTACCTTGCTGAGATCGAAATGAAATTGGATTAGCAGATAGAATTAGCAATCAGAAGACACAGACAGTTATTTATAAGAATTGAGCAAAAGAATTTGCAAAAACAATTCATTTCAGTAAGCATTAGTCAATCGAAGTTTAGAGTTTGTACTTGATTATTGAATTATTTGCATTGAAAGATTGTTTGAATAAAATGAAATGCAAATTTAACTATCAAATTAATTTTAAATATTTAAACAAATTTCAAAGACAGTTTTTTTTTTAAATATACTAATAGAATAGCTGTTGGAGACCTAAACAAGTCAAAGATTAATTTTTATTCAGAGGTGCAACCATTGTTGTGATTAAAAACTGGAATGATAAAAAAATGTCTAATATGCAAATAGTTCTTATAAATTACACATAAAATAAAAAATAGGCTTAAGAATACGAGGGGGAAAATACCGTTTACAACTTTCGTATAAAAACAGCCAGAAAGTTGAAGCTTAAATTTGCTATTTTGTACGAGAATTGAGCAAACATGATATTTTATTCTATGTTCATTATTACTGAGTTACACTGAAGTAATTTTAAAAAATCAATTTTCTCTCATAAAAGTAAATCATAATTAAAACAATAGTTCAAGGTTGTTGTCCCTAATATGAAAAAAAGATTGCAAAATTCAAATTTCAATCAGAAATAAGACATACAAATTTCACAATAGCTGTAAAACAATTTGTACCTTAAAATAGATTTTTATGTATCTTATTTAATTTAAAAATAAAAAAATTTAATTAAAATAAATATTACTTTAAACAAAAAGCAAAATTTATTGAACTGTGTGTACAAAAAGTAATATTCTTTTACCCACTTTAAAATATTATTTTAAATATTATTATTAAATAAGAAATACTAAAGCACTTTTTGTGGTAACTATTTTACAACATCCTGAACACTGTCTGAAATTTGAAAATAAATTTCAATATTATTCAGAAATTTTTTGAAACAACTAAAACATCTGCCATCAAAAACAAAGTTGAATAATTAAAATTTCTGAAAGTTGATCCTTAAGGCATCAATCACATGTTATTCTGTAATCATTTATGCAGTGTTTATATGGAATGACATTCTTAATAAGATTAAGGAACACTTGTTATTCAAAATGTAAAAAATGTTTTTTAAAGAGTATAAGCAATTTCAGAAATATTTATTAATCTGAGTACAGTGCAACTTCACAAGCATGAGTTAAAGTATATACAGTATGATTAATAAAACCTTTTCCTGGTCATTAAAAAATGAAAATGGCACAAGAAAGTTTCACACTTAAGTGTTTCGATGGAATTATTGGAAGGCCACATTAATATCACGAACTAGGAAGAAGAAAAAAAACATCCAATGATAACATGAAGAAGCACGAAATCATATTCTGTTGAATTCTGTACACAGCATGGCTAATAGTTCTCGGAAAGACTGTCCAAGTTTTCCTTGCATTGTCTGCCGCTTCAGAATAAAAGACTGGATGCCTAGAAGTTGCTCATAGCAATTTTTGCACTTTGTAACTCTAAAATAAAAGAAACTTAATCAAAATATTTTATAAAAAGGGATAAAATCTAAATTGAAAGCTTAATTTTAAAACTGAGCAAGTACGGCAATTTCCTGCATATAATCCGCGGATTACATGGGAATCATCAGAGCGGATAATCTGCTGGGGAGAAAGAAATTTACAACAGCAATCTAATGACTTTCGTCAAACATAAAAGTTAAATGTGGTCGCATATCAACTCGTCCATTTCCTTACTAATAGCCATCAGCTCACATATGATGTAAATTAACTCATATATGAAGTAGATTCACTAACATACAATGGAGGAAAAGGCTCTGAAATTCATTTTTATTTATCCTGCCATAAATGAAACACTGTTATCCGTCTATTATCTGCTGACGTTTTCCCTCCTGCTGATTATACATTGCCGCAAATGATTTGCAGGGAAATAACGGTATTTTTTAAGAAATGCTTAATTTAATAAAACTTATTGAACCCTTCTATTAAACTTCAAATAAACTTTACAATTAAATAATACTACAAGGAATTTAAAAAATCATTACGTAGATGAATTAAGCTACGATTAAAAAAATCGTGCTTTCTAAAATATACTTTCAAATTATCTTCTGAAAAAATACAACTTTTGGCGAAATTCTCTACTGTTAAACCTAGAACACTCGTCTCAGAGCTTCAACGAGTTGTATCTAACAAAGGTCAAATTTACCAATCAATTCGAATGAGATATTAGACACTTAGACATTTCTTATAAATCTTATAGTAGAAAACCCCTACAAGAAGTTTAAAATTTTAAGAAGTTCGAAAGTAAGTTAGGCACTTAACAAAAAATATTAAACCAACATTTAAAAAAATTTTCTAAAAATCAGAATTAACATGACGTTTTTGTGAGTTCAAACAGAAGAAGCAGTATTATTACAACATGCCAGTTCTGAAATCAAGGTATCACTTTTTACCACTTGGTTCACAATGATTCCACCATAAATTCACATCATTTTAAGATAGTTTTTTTCAACAGTTATTTGTCATTTTTTAGCTGTTTTCATATAATTTTTCAAACTTAAATATTTTTAATGCAATGTTATTATAAGCAAACTTTGAATTTGAGTTATCACTTCTGGAGACACTTAAAAAGATAAAATTTTATGACTTCATTTAAAACAAAAAAGAAAAACAAGAAAATCGGGGATCCTTTGTCAAATTTATGATTTTCATGATCAGTAGTCACCCTGTTTAATAAATATTGTTTTAGAACAGAAACTTTATAATTGCAGAGGAAAACATAATCAACAATGAAATGAGAAAGTAATAAAATTCTAAGAATTCAAAAAGCGTTTGTAAAAAAAAAATTTTAGTGCGGTAATTTTTTGACGATACAATCAATAAACATTTTTTAATTAAAGCAAATACAATTAAAACAAATTCAATCAAAATATTATAATAAGTATAAAATAGTATTTTGAGTAAAAATCATAATAACTTTATCACACACAATCTCACAAAATTGAATAAAACACAAAACATTAGTCAAATAATTTTTTTAAAAAAATTAATAAAACAAAATTATATTTTTGTAAAAAGACAATTACCTTTCTTCCCCACAAAGATCTACTCCAATACGGGGCGGAGCTTCAATATTTGTTTTAATAAGATTTCCAAACTTTTGCAAAATCAATTTAACAGAAGAACAACCAATTGACATATAACTACACAAAAATAGAAATTAAAATCAATATTTTAAAATATATATATATAAGTTTTTAAAAAAATCATTAAGCTAATTAGAAATGATTCAATAATAAATTTACAAAACACTTTTCATAAACAAAAATTTAAAAACATGTTTGATATTCCAAAGTTAATTATAATAAAGAAAAATAATTCATTATGCACTTTCTGACATATAACATGACAATAAAATAATTTAATTCAATACGCTAACTCTCAAATCAGAAATAAATAGGGAATAACTTAGAACGTATGGAAAAATTGAAATCAATCACATAAAAATAGTAGTAAGACCAAACAAATTCAATGAAAGCCAAACTAATTTTCTAACTGCTGGACAGATAGTTACATTAAATTAAGGTAAAATCAATTTTGCAAATAAAACAAAATTTTCAAGTATTTAAATAAAAATAGAGCTGAGGTTCATATTTTACTGATGGACATTAATTAAAAGAAATAATTTATTAAATGATCATTTAAAAACATTTTTTGGGAAGCCATTCATGATCATTTAAGAACATTTTTTGGGATTTCTTCCAAAAAAATTTAGTTTTAATTATGAATTAAAGATATCAATAGCTTTTTTTTTCGAATGAAAAGGTATGTGAAAAGCTTGCTTAAATGATAAATTATTCAGTGAAGGGTCCATTTAAGGAAAAAAAGTTTAAAGCAGGCTTTTTACTTGTTGTAAATAAAATTCAGGAAATTTCTCAAATTAGTCAGGACATTTTTTTGGTGCAATACATACATACTAGATTATTTTTAAGAAGAGGAAACAAAGAACAAAAAAAATTGTGTACTCTGCTGATTTGAAAATTATATTTTGCACAGAATATTTCTTTAATTTTCTACAACATCAAGAGGGAAAAAACAGGAGCCAGAATCAATGTTTTCAAATAAATATTCAAAACAAGTTAATCAAAAATAGTTTTAAAAAATGGTGCAATTTCGTGAATGCTTACATACAATGATAAATCTGGGAACATGATTTTTCTTAACTTTGGAAATAGATTCCTTAATATAAAGATATATCAAAATAAGTTAAAAATAAAACTAATAATTATACAGTGAAATGTCTCGGGAGAGACCACTCTCCATTTCTCAGTAAAATGGTCGTTGATGGATGTTAGTCGTTCTTAGAGGTTACCTCCATTGACTTCAAAATTTTTATCGAAGATATATGATTTTCCCCAAAGGATTTTAATTTTAGACAGTGTTATGTTTTAAAAGCAGATATGCCACTTTTGTTGGAGCAATGAAAAGACAGATCGATGATTAAAATTTAGCCTCTATAAAAATGATCCCAACCAATATAATTATGTGTAACAAATTTACAAATTATGAATGATGAAACTATTTTAAATAAACTAACAGTTATGTTTTTTAATTGAATCTGCATTTAATTTTATATCATAAAAATTAGTTAGCTTTAAAAGATAAGAGATTTGTTTGAGATACTCGTTGTTTCTAAAATTACTTTTTTCCTAGTCTAACTTTCAACTCCAAAAGTAAATCATTGACAGCATTGTCTTTAATGCACTCTGACTGGAACATGAGGTTGCATCGCCAAAAAGAGCTTTCTAAATAAGAATCTCACATATATATTTTGAATACATTTTAATCTGAGTTTAGGATTCATTAATTTATTGTTAAATCCTTTGCTTTGATATGTTTGCCCAGTCACTGGGAAAGGTTTTAATGGTCCCTCCTAAAGGTTTTACTCAACACCAAGTCAATGGAAAAAATTATACGTTTCCCAAAAGTGGTCGTAAATAGAGGTGGTCTTTCCTGGAGGCTTCGGTGCAAATTTAAAAATATTATAAATAAAAATAAGGAAAGTGAGATTGGAAATGAAATAGTAAATGAATCGCCACTGCTTTGCCACTGCTGCAGATGCAACTATTGCCATTGATGTTTTAAGAAGATATATTAATTTATCCAATGAGGAAGATGGCTTAATTACTATGCTTGTAGTATTTTTTAACTTTGGATTGTTATTCTGTTTTGTTCTTATAATGATGTAATTTGTGCAAGGAAAAAATATTAAATTTTTAAAAAAAAGAACTTTGTTAGAAACACTAATAGTTTATCACAAGATAAATTGACAGACTTAAGCCTGCAAAATTGTGCAGCGAAATGTTTTTTGAATGTTATTTTTCACAAATTCTGCTTAGGGGCACACTCTACTTGACAATTTTTCACAATCCATTAAAAGTTGTTGAACAGAGAGAGAAGTATAGGCTAATAAAATAGTAATTTTTGAAAGTGGCTTAATAGTTATGAAAGTTTTAAAAAAGTTATAATAGATTGCATGGAGTCATAAATCTGATAAACATATTAACAACAATGGATATAATATTAATTGTGGGGAAAAAAAGAAACTTTAAACAAACCTTTCAAATTTGCTTTGAACAAGATCTTGAATAAATGGCAACAACGATTGGCACAAGTCGAGACTCCATAAGTCCCTGGCAAAAAAGGCAATATTATTAGTGACTATAAGTAAGTGAAGAGCGAAAATATCGAACAGCACATATAAAAACTTATACACAGCATAAATTAACTTAAAACTACCTGAGTAAATGAAGCTAATATAGAATTTAAAAAATTTTAAACTGACAAAAAACAAACTATTAAAATAAATAATCTTTACCTGATTAAGACACCAAAAATAAAAGAATTACAACAGTATGTTTTACAATATGTGATACTGCAGTCAAAGGTAAAAATTATTTCAAAAACTGAACGAAATTGAATTTACAACAAAAAAAAACTCATTTGTTCTTATTTTAAAATCTGATAGGAAAGTTTTAGTTAACAAAGCAAAATATATAACATAACTTTTACTAATAAAATAACTTTCCTCCCACTAACAAAAGAATTGTCTTTATGTTTCCAAAGGAAGTAAAAAATAAATCTTGATCCTCTTTTAGAAACTAAAATTTTCCAATGTCTGCATGTCATGTCATGGTGACTCCATGGTAGGTGCAAAATATATAACATAAAACAAAAGCAACTGGTGACAATTAAACTAATCCTTTGTTTTCTGTCAATACTTTTCTTATTTTTATTAATATCATACCAACTTTGCTGATTAGTAGTGAAATAAGTTAAAAGTATGACAATATTTCAAATTAGTACACTGAATCTACTAGTATATCAATATCAAAACATAACCTAAGTTTTAAAAGATTAAATCAAAAACTAATTTGTCAATAATTATAAATTAACTAAAAATAATTTATGATCTTTTAAAAAAATAGCAAAAAAAAGAATCGCCAATGTGGGAGAAACTTACTGTCTTCGGTTCAAGACGGATAAGAAGTCAACCATGACAGCAGGCTCATTCATACTTACAGCCGTATCTGTTGCAATCTAAAAGTATAATCAAGTTTTTACTTCTACAATAAGCAACTTTATTTGAATACTCAACAAAATAAATATTTATATTAAAAAAGGAAAATGACATAGAATTAGGAAATTTACTTTAAATTTACTAAAAAGCTTTCAAAAAATGCTTCAGTATTTTCTGAGCCATTTTAAGATGGGATGGATAGCACATAAGTATCCCCTTTAGACATTCTTGTCAGTGATTAAAATTTAAAAGAAAAAAATGATAAAATGATGCACTATAGCAAAGGGAAAAAAAGCTTTGAAAAATGACCCAGAACTTTCTGAGAAAGGTAGAACATTTTGAAGTCATCTTTTTAAAAATATCAAATTGCCTCTAAGACAACTGTTATAGAAAGTATGCATTGCAAAAAATGCTAACATTATAAATAAGTATACATGCTAACAATGCATGTATACTTATACTCTACAGGGCCTTTTTAACTTTAAAATTTTAATGAAAACATAGTTGTTACAAAAATCACAAGGACAAAATATTGAGAGAAAAAAAGTTTTGTGATAATTAAAGCATAAAGTAATAATTTGTTCTTAATATAGAAGTTTCGACATTTATTATTAGGAATTTTTGGGGGATTAATTAACCTTTAAAGGGCTAATGCTGCCATAAATGGATGAACCTTGACTTACTGGGTCCAATACCATGTATATAATGGATAAAATCATTTTATTATTATTGCACTTACTGTTTAATAATAATTAATTACTAAATTCAACATTATAAATAACTACCATAATTAATCACTATAATTATACTTCAAGACCATTATGGGTTAAAAGTTTAATCATATTTTTTTGTCCTGATGTAAGTCCCTCATTCAGTATAATTTTAAATCCTCCTGATTGAAAAATTTATTTTAAAGTACAAATCAGAAATCAATATTTATGTGATTTACAATTAAGACAACATGCCAACTATGGTGCTATAACTTCCCTCTTATTCAAATCTTTAAAAAACAATTTTTTAAATTTATTTACCTATTTTAACATTTCTCAATATTTATGCAGAATTTAAGATTAAAGTATACAGTCAAGTTTTGTTGTTCTTCGGTGGATTTTTTGTCATGCCATTTAATTTAACCATTGCATCACTGTTTTAAAATTAATTACTTCCACAACTAAATTCCTTGCAAATAAGAAGTGGTCGTAAAATAACTTCCCCGATATGCATAAACTTCTAGTTGCCTATCCATTTGATCAATAAAAAAAATAATTTTAGGTGTTATTTAAAGGCAATGGCTAGAGTTAGTGATGATTCATAGCAATCGAACTTTCATGGTCACTGTTACAGAGAAGGAATTTTTAAATTTACAAATGGCAGGACACATTTTTTTTGTCATGAATTTTCAGAGTAAAAATAAATAAAATGAAGTTGGAACCATATTTTTAGCATGAAAAACAGTGAGTCTAACAGAGATAAAGAGAGCAAAAAACAGCAAGCAAATTACTGTCCTTTCTTCTTCCTTCCCATTGTTGTCAGAACATGTTCAATTGAGTTCACTAACGAATCTAAAATACAAAGGCACTGTCATTTTTAATGCTAAGAATATAGTTCCAACTCCATTTTGTTTTTACCACAAGGATCAAAATATTAAGAAAAAAAAGGTATTGCCAATTGCAAATTTCTACATTTGTTCGTTGTAATCATAAGTCTCAGATTAAGAAATCACAATCTCCAAAAAAACATATCTTCAAATAACACTATCTGAAATTGCATCTCAATCAGCAAGAAAAAGGCTGCAAGGGAATCAAATATAGAAGTTATGTTATCACAACCTTGTATTTTAGGTATATCTTTAGAAGAAGAAAAAAATTAAAATATAACGCTGTGATAAAACAAATAAATTGAGAGGTCATTTTTTAGTAATTTTTTTAAAATCTAATAAAGCGAATTGATATAATCTATTCATTCACTTAATTTTGATGCAAAAAGTAATATATTTTTTACTTTTTTTAAACTTGAGAAAAATATTTTCATTTAGGGAAGGAAAAAAAAAAAACCAAACCAAACATACTACATAGTTCGTAAAGTCAGATACCCATACCTTTGAGCCTTTAGATTTCATAACTGCGAGAACTATTTGCAATTTTTTCAGTCTATTATCGAACACTGTAATAAATGCTTGATGTTCTCTACAAATAAGATTCATTGCCTCAGCTTCGGAAACTTCAGGTTGAACAGCCTGGCTACTTCCCAGACATTTTTGTTGTGATTTCTAAATTAAAAACAAATGATATCTTAAGAACTGATATAAATTGCAGGAAAAAAACTGAAAATTAATCTGGATCAAAAACAAAAAGGAGATAATAAACTTTTCAATACTACAATGGCATATGACTACATAAATAAAAAAAAGTATTTCTAACAAGCTAATTAAACAGACCTAACAAAAATAAATGTATCAACTTTTAAAGAAAAGTTGATACATTTTAAGAAATTATTTAAACTAGATGCCAAATACATAAATGAATTATTTAAAAATTATTTAAAGCACATGTAGAGTCCAGCCAAATGAAACATGGCCTACAGCGTTTACTGTTCGTCATGTTGTAATAAAACATTGCACTTCCTGTGATGCATTTGGCTGCTGATAAGTTAATGCACCTTTTATTTATTTATTTATTTATAATATATANTTTTTATATTGATATATATAAGTTAAAAATGTAGAGAAAACATGGAAAATAATTAAGATTAATGAAAAGAGAAGAAGAAAAATTATTAAAATAAAATATTTTGAAGAAAAGAATTTTTTTTTAATTATTTAAAATATATATATATTAAAAAGCCGAAAACAAAATAATTAAAAGATATAATCTTTTCATCAGCTCACACGACTATATCTGCAAAAAGGAGTGCTTTCTAATATTGTTTCAACATAGCCTAAGCTAAATATATCAATAGAATAATGTGATGAGCACTCAAAAAATTGAAACGAAAATAGAACACTTTAAACAAAAAATATATCAAGCAGCAAAAACAAAAAAATAATATGTAAAGAAAATACAGCACAAAACACAAAACGAAATCTATAAAGCGAGTAGAGGATTCAAATGAACTTACACATACTGGAATCTTTCAAGATTGATATAAAATATTTTCGTAACAAGATTGCCAAATTACAAAATAGGAAAACAGAAGAGCAAATAGAGTTAGAAGCATAAATAAATGAAGTGTTCCATGTTATAATATATAGATATTTCTTCTTAAATAATTTTTTTAATATTATATTTTAATTGTTTTTTTTTTCTTCTCTTTTATTAATCTTTATTTTTTCCATGTTTTCTCTATATTTCTAACTTATTTTATGAGTTCTACATATTTGCAGCTAATGCACAGTAAATAAAACTTATTTTCTTCCTTTTAATCCATTTTGACTTTATTGTGCTACCTATATTTATAGATGTCATTGGTTTCGTGTGTGTACAATTAATCAAATATTATATGACCCATTAAAACACTATGTATATTTCCTTACAGTGCCAGCCAGCTTGTAAATTATTAACATCAAGTGACTAACTAAAAGTGAATTGGAGCCATTGAGTCAAAACCTTTCAGATACCAATGCAATCACTATAAACTGCAGTTACCACCCACCCACCACAAAAAATTTCACTTTTTTTTTTCTGAATTCATAAAACACAAACATGTAAAAAGGTTTTCTTATAAGTATATCATTATTTCTCGTAGCATAAATTGTAACAGCATTGAATTTTTCTATATTGTTATTTAACTTCTTCCTAATAAGCATGATAAATTTATTCATAAAATTTCAATATTTATATAAGAAACATAACTCACAGGTAAAAAGTCATCAACATTTAACCCTGCAGGTGCATCTCTTTGTTCTGGTACATAAGAATCTGGAGCTTTTGAAACAGCTTTAACCATATGATCAGGATATATAGCAGTTCTATGATTATAAGCATCCCTATCAGGTAGAAAAGTTGTAGGTCTAACTATTGAAACTGCTTCTGGAGGATAACCTGACCATCTGATAGCTGTTGCTTTTTCACAGGGTTTTTTAAAACCTTGAGAGTTTTTATCATTAAGAAACGTAGCTTTCGGACTGAACGCATCAGGAACATTTGTAACAGATGATGAGAGTTGATTAGTCCTTATGGTAATACCAGATGACACTGGAGAAGATGGTACAAAGTTATTTTTAACCGGAGATGCTATCCTAATAGGAGATGAAACAGGGGACTTGGAAAGTTTCTCTGGGATTTCTGTAGTAACATTAAATGATGTCTGAATAGACAGTGATTTTGTTTCTCTCTCAATGGACTTGAACATGTAATCTTCCTTCATAAGATCATTTGCTGAAAAAGAGAAATAAATTAAAATGAATGGACTAGAATTTTTAGTTACTCATTTACTAAATCACAAATTTCTAATGAGATAAAATGAGAAATGTAGAGAAAAGTTTATAACTATAAAATTCTATATAAATAACATTAAATTTATTAATGCCGATCAGATTAACATTTTTTATATACATATATATATATTTTCAACCTTCAGTTCAAATTATTTCAGGTACTGAGTTGAAGCATGATTGAAAAACGTTGAACTAAAGGAAAAAGAAATTAAAGTTTAGAAGTTTCAGATTTTACAAAAAAAATTCAAAATATACTATTTAATTGGATAACTAGATTAAATTATTTTTAAAAAATTATTTCTTACTTAGAAGAACTTAAAATAAAAGCATATATTATTTTTGTTTATTTATCAACATCCATATATGAATTTGCTTGTTCAATACAAAGTAATAGATAAAATACAATACCAACTGGTAATGGACAATCAGGATTGAAAAAAAAAAATTTAAAAATAAATAAAATTTAAAAAAATGTAGCTGTGACAATTTTATGCAGAATTTTATTCTAAAAATATCTTTGACTTAAACCTTATTCAAAATGGAAGAAATAAGAAAAGAAGAACAAAACTTCTGATATTTTTGCTATTTGCACAATTTTAGTCAAAGAATTGCAATGATTATTTAAACTATTTATCGGTATAACAAAGTATAAACATACATATTTTTAAGAAGTAAAATTATTACTATTTGCAAAATGTAAGAATCCTTGCAAATGAACTTGTATATGCACACAATTGCATAGTCTGTATTGTATAACTATGCTTGTACCTTTAATTTACATCTTGAGTACACAAATGTAAACAATTTTTTCCATACTGGTGGATATTTAAGAAAAAAATCTTTTATGGAGAAAAAATCCTATTTAGAATAGATCCTCCCTCAAAATTTCTTAAAACCAGTCTTAAATAAAACCATTGCTGCATTTAAAAAAATAAGTACAATTTTTTTTTAAAAAAAAAAAGGAAAGAAACTGCAAAAACAACATAAAACTAATAATTTATGTTTTTCCCATGGTATAAACAAATACTTTAACATTGCATAGATTAAGAATGAACTAAAATTGCAATGCAACAATGTATAATTGAGAAACATATAAACAGTACTTAACTGTATATAAAATATATAGATATCCAATTATATGAAGTATAAACAGGTCTTTCCACTTTCATATAATATAAATTTTAAAAGAATCAAGAAATAAATTGATAAATATTATAAAAAGAATTGATAAAAATATTAAGTAATGCATTACCATCTAAAGGCATAGGAAAAGGGTCACTTTTAGGAGGAGTACGACACACTAGAAAGATTAAGAAAGGGTTTAGACATACATAAACTTAGCAATAAACAATTAAACACTCGAGAGAAGAATACTGTTTGAAAAACACTCAAAGAACATAAGATGTAAAAAAATCTGCCTTCAAAAATATTTCATAGATAAATAAATTGGAACCTTTACTAAAAGTTAGTACGAAAAGGTCTAATAATGAAACACAAATTTATTGATCTATGATTGCAATAAGGTTCGCATCATAAACTTAAACTGTGGGTCTTATTTTGTAAATGTTCATTTTAAGATACAATTTCTAGCAATGAAAGACAATTCAATGAAATTTAAGCGACTTCTTTAATTTTAATTCCTTTATCTATAGATTGGCAACTAAAATATTTAATAGTTTCAACTTGTTCAAAGAAATAGCAGCTTAGAATTTAAGCTTTTGTTAACAATGAGAAAATCTGATTTAAATATATATATATATATATATATAAACTCCTGTTTGTGAAAATTGCAACACCATGAANCTGCACGATAAGACAATCCAGCTTAACGAAGGCCGATGATTCTCCCCCGTTTAAACTCCGTAATTTGTCGAAATCTCGCTCTCTTTCGTCGAATAGGCTTAAGTAATGACTAAGCTAACGTTTACCACTAGCAGATAACCACCGATAACCATACTCGCTTGGCTACAGCCGTCTATTTATTCGGATCCATCCGCCGTTCAGAGGGCGCTGCTCAGCATACGCATGCGCTACGGGTCTGAAATTCTAATCATTTGCATATCATGCTCTACTTTGCATTTCCTGAAAATTTCAGCTCACTCGCGTATGTCCTTCATGGTGTTGCAATTTTCACAAACATGAGTTTATATATATATATATATATAATAATGATGAAAATATAAACACATCCACCAACTACTAGAAGAATGTACTATTTATATCAGTAATACAGCCTATCATAATAAACATAAGATATTGTAAAACATCTTAGTAATTCAACATTCATGTATCATTCATGTATCTTCAGGAGCTCTTGAGAAAATTACTTTATCATTTAAGGATTTTCAACTGATCTCTTATTAGCTTTTAATTCTATTGATTTACAGAAAATATAATTACAGAAGTACCCATTATACTTATTTTTTTAAAATTTAAAATAAAAGACACACAAAAAGATAAGTTTCAAATTTCTATGCTAAAAATTTAAGATACAGAAATATATTTTTAAAACTAAGTATTTTCTTATGAATGACCCAATAATAAAATATTTAAATAACATTATGAAACTCTTTTTTATGCTCGCTTGAATATTAAGTAGTTTTTTAGTGTAATTTTTAAGTATTTAAAAAATGTTTTGCAACTTTAAAACAATAACACAGAATTTACCTAATACTACACCACAAAGACAAATCATGCATCTTAAAATATGGTCTGATGTTATGCAAAATTACAAACACAAATACTGTCTAAGCAATACAAATACTGCATGATAAATAATAAGCATTTCAGTTTCTGTTGCATTAGAAAAAAAAGCACAGTTTTCAATTTACTGATACCTTATTTCCACTTTACAATATAAACAATATATCAATTGAATTGAATTTCAAGCATCATTTTAAGATATATTCACATTTAAAACTTACATTCACTTTTAGGGATGAAAACTTCTTCACTGTTTATTTCTTTCAAATCTTCTAAACTGAAATTATCATTTTCTACGTCAAATTCTTGGCTTATACTTTCAACAACTTTCATGTCAAAAGAACTGGAAACGAAATTTTAAAAATTTATTTATGATTAAATAGAAATAAATTTCTTTATCTTCAACAAGTGGAACATTAATTCCTATAAAATATGTATACACACAATACAACATAATTAACACACATCATGATGATTAGGTTTTTTTTTTAATTTATAAGATATATAAACTAAAATAAACTCAGTGGCGTGACAGCTCATAGAGGGCCAAATCCTACTATGCCCATCGCAGTTTTCTTGACCTTGGGCTCTGGGGTGCAGGAGCAGATGTTCCGGTCAGGTGGTCAGCCGAACGTGGAACCCCCAGTGTTTAGTTCCCAAACATGTTTGGTACTCATTTATCGACCCACTGAAGGGATGAAAGGCTGAGTCAACCTTGCCCAGCCCGAGGATTTATAAGATATATGATTAGACTAAATTTAATAATTACATTGATTTAATGCATAGTTTAATTTAAATTTATAATAAATCTCAAAAACTATGATCAGTAATCACTAGAAACAATACACGATTGAATTATAATAGTCTGGAAGAAGAGGAAAGGTAAAAATGTCAACATTGAAATAGTTCCACTTTTTTAATATTAATGTTAATATCCTATCTGTTTTAAACTCCATTGTTAGAGAACTATTTAATTTAAATGGGCTCTTTTTAATTCAAACATGTATAATTTTAAACATTCTGCAATTTGAACAAACAATTATTCCCAAAAAATTTACTATTCACCAAAGTTAGTATTTTTTATTAAGAGCTTCTTTATTAATATTAAAAGGCGTCAAAGCGAAAATTTTCAAAGTAACAGGTTGTGATGGAAAAAAAGAAGTGGTATAATTACAAAAATATTGGTTCTTGATATAGACAAAAGCTACTTAAACTTAGATTAAAAATAATGAAAAAATATCATGAACAACAAAACAAACGAGATACACAAATTTTAGTATATGTGAATTTTTTTACTATACCTTTCTATCATCCAATCTTACATAGAAATTAAGTTACAATAAATTTATTTTTCATAAAAAAACTACAGTACAGAGCAAAAAATTTGATCCTTTCATAAAACGCTTAAGTAAACAAATACAGAAGTCAAGAATTAAAATAACTCTAAATTTTATGCAATATTATACCGATAAATCAGTGGTTAACTTTTTCTCTTTTAGCATCAATAACTATTTAAAACCTTCTTGATTCTACAACAGACTCGAAAGTTATTTTGTCTCAAAATTTTTCCAAATTTTCCTTCCATTCTTTGACTGCCATCTTCACTACTTTTTCCAAGTTCATTTTTCATTATTCTCACCAAATTCTCAATGAAACTGGAAACAGGTAATTTTAAATATTAATTTTTAAAAATGGCCTTTTCCAGTTTCATAGAGAATAAATTATATCCTCCAGTATAAGGGCTATCATTGTCTTGTGGAACAGAAAGCCATAAGGATAAAGTGTTTCCTAAGTGTGAATGTGGGAAGGAACTTAAGCAAATTGTTCAGATATCCTGTTTTTTTTTTTGTTTTTTTTTTGTGCCAAGCATTATACACTTATCATTAGCTTAGAAATTAAAGTCTCTCAGGTCCAGACTTTTTTGAGCTCCTTTGTAGCTTTTTAAATTTTTTTACTAATCAATTATTTTTTATTTTATTACTGATGTTTTAACTCTTCTTTTTTCAGCCATTTCCATCAATTTTCAGACCTTATGGAATATTCACACTTATTACAGTTCCAAGTTGATTTCTATCTGTTTCTTGCTTTAACATAATTCCTCCCTTAAATCAAATTTTTAAAATGAAATAAATTTCATATGAAGTATATTTTTATTTGCATAGAAAAATTATGTTCAGCTGTTCAGTTCCTTAAAAACATCTTTTGTATTAAAAATAAAGTGCTGACAAGAATCATCAAAAATGTATAACTTTCTTAATTGTCTAATATTTTGCTCTGTAATGCACTATATATTTATTGTTTAATAAAATTAATATTCCTTCAGTCTTAAGATCAAATTAAAAAGAATTAATAGTATTTGCTAGTATTTGTTTCAGAAAAGATATTTATTTTTTTAATAAAACATATTAAAGAAAATTGACTTTTTTTTCTTTTTTTTTTGTATGGGACGATTTTCAAAAATTAAGTTATATAAAAATATAAAAAAATTTATTAAGATCGAAGAGTTGCTTTACTGCAATGATCTCTTTTCTGAACAAGATAAAGTCAGAAAAATATGCATCAATAATACATAGCTGTACTTGGACAGTTCCTCAAAAAATAGAAACAAATAGCATCAGTTAAACTATAAATGATAGATAAAGCATGTTCTTACTTCAACTTTTGATTACCAGCATCTCTTTCAAAACTTTTTCTTGAGTGATTTCTAAAAATTCAAAGTTCATTATATAGATTACAATAAATACTGGCTCCCATTATTAAATAAAAAGTTCGAAAAATAAGAAACACATAAACAAAAGAATCTAAGTTAAGAAAAGCAATATAAGTTAAATGCAACAGATAGTTATAATAACCTTAATTTTTATTTTTAAAAAAATTGCAGTACCATTAAGTTACAGTTAAGTTTAGATAATTAACCATTTTAATAAAAATAAATTTTACTGGAAGCTAAAAAAAAAACATTTCCAAAAGATTTTTAAACTTTTTATAAATTTTAAAAATATTTCAAGTATTAGCCTTATCAATTTTTTTTTTATTAGGAAAAGAAACTTATATGAATAACAGAATAATTAAAACAAGAATTTAATCTTTAATTCCTAAAATTGCAGCTAAAATTTATATTTCTAAATAATCTTAGATAAATATCTATGATGCTTAATGGCATCTCTCTTAATCACGACTTTATACCTAAAGCACATTAGTTTACAGAATAGTTGCTGATTAAAAAATATTCGTCATAAACTCAAATGTTAATACGTCATTCAAACAGCTTCACTCATAGCTTAAATTACCCTACTATATAATTATTCCAAGAAAAATCAAACTAAAAAAGATTGTTCAATGCATATTTGGAAGGTCCCTTCGAATATTTTTTTAACATTAAATGTTAAAAAAAATATAACTTTGAACAAAAAGCTATATCAGTAAAATTCATATCAATTGTTACAGAGTTTACAAATAAAGTTTATATGAATACAACTTTTCTATAAAAGGCAAATCGCACTGTAAATATTGTAATAAATATATTTATTAGAAACTCCAAAAAATAAATAAGAATTTTTATAATAAATTTATATTTGAAAACTATTTTCAAAATAAATAAATAAAATAAAAAATATCTCCAGCATTATTCTAAAGGAAATCAGTCTCTTAATCAACTAAGGGCACAAAGTAATAAGTTTTTGTTTTAAAAAATTCCTTTGTTTGAAATTCCTTTAAATTATATTCTCATTTGGGCTATTTATTTCACTGTAATCTCAAGATATTGCATATGAAATTGCTCGCATTAATGAATATCATAGCAATTTGACTATGATACACAATGACAAAGTTAAATTAATTGGATATAGCACAATTACTATAAAAATCTTTAAACAAGATAATGAGAAAATGAACCATTGAATACTATATTGACCATTCTTATACAAAATCATAGTTAAAAATAGACTAAGAGAAATTTAACAACTACATAATTTCTTTCATTTTAAACATAAAGCATTACTTGAATTTTTTTTTCAATAAACAATTTTTTTCACAAACTGAAAAACAGTTTCATTTCTAAAACAAAATGTATGATTTGATAGCCAGTTTGAAAATTAAATGAATTCTCAGTATTTTATATTTATGGTTAAGAATTCCCTTATAACACAAAAATGATAATAAGTAATTAAATAAATAAACAAATATAAGAAACTAATGGAAGAGCATTTTTTTAATAGTATAAGAGCATTAAAATTAAATAAATAACATTTCAAGCAATTCATTAGATTAACACATTAACAGTAAATAAGATATGAGTCTCACCCAGTAATTGGATATTGATTAGGAATGTAAGAAATATTGCTATTATCCATTTTGGCAAGAGGTTTTAAACTGTCTAGCTGCACTACATATACAGTCACAGTATTCATTGAAAAACTACCAGCGACCTAAAATTTATAACAGTTTAGTAAGATAATAAGAAATTAATCATGAAAGAAACAAAAAAAGATCAACAATTATACAATATTAGCAACAATTAAATCTACGATTGGAAAAACATCAATTTGCTACATTTCGTTAAGTTATAGAACAGAAAAAAACTTTGAAAAAAAAATTTACATTTATTGTTACAACCCAAATGAAATCCAAGCATATAAAATAGTTCAAATATTTTCAGAATATAGTGCCTCTGACAGATGTATTTTCTTTCACTTATTAAATTATTTTCTCTAACAGAGGCATTGAAGTAATTTACAATTTCAAATTTATTGGCACGAGTGAATGGTTTCATGAAAAAATACCTGAAGTTTTCAAAAAAAAGTGTATGTACAGGGGCATATATATTAATTGATTATAAAAAGTTAAACTCTACTAAAATGAATTGCAACATGCTATTTGTGCATGAAATGTGGTTGATATCAGGACTAGAAGATCGCATAATCAACCATTACTAAAGATTAAATTGTGATTGTAGTTTGTAAATCAGGTCAATATGAATAGGGAAAAATAAGATTTGAAAAACATGGAGCGTAATGAGCTGCAAATCACGCAAATACTAATCATAAATTCTGTTAATACAAATTGTGATAGGAGATTCATAATTCAAAAATAAAAGCAAATCTGAAGAATATAAAATTTTTCCTATTAGTGATATAATTATGCAGAAAATAAAACGGAAATGAAAAAAATATTAATTATCCATATTAATCGAATTAAATTAACAAATAATTACAGGGTGTCCAGTGAGAAGACACTTTCATATTCTCAGACTTTTACCTGATAATTCCCTGTAAATCCAAGATTTTTCCTCTATTGCGCAGATGATATTTAATATTGAATTTTATATTTTATTTTGAATTTTATTATCGCTTGAGTCAAATTACTAAATTCGGACATCTTAAAGCATTGTATACAAATATTGGAATTTGAAAAACCATATAAAAGAGGCTGAAAATTATAAATAATTTCCAAAACCAATGATCAAAAGATGAGAAATTACGATGGAATCACAAATCGAAAGCTTCAAGAAAGTGATAGCTCAAATTCAAAATTCACATACCATTATAATGTATTAAATATATCATTTTATGTTATATTTGGGAAATTTGTAAGGAAAGGACAGGGATGATGAACAATTACTATTGAAAGAACAATTCAAAACTTCAGGACACTTAGAAAAATTTGGGAGAAAACTTGTTTGCGACATTCTTAGTGAAGTACTGCTCACAGAAGCATCAATCACTTGATTTTTCATCGCCTGTTGTTTTAAAACTTTTCCCTGTTTCACTAAAATTTCTTAGAAATTACCTGATATTTCCATGAAATTTCCAGAATCAATAAATTCCCAGATAATTCCAGATTTTCCTTATTTTCCCTGTAGCTGGACACCCTGAATTAAGTATGACAAATTTGAAACAAAAGTCAAATTTAAAATTTGAAGAATCATTACATATGAAGCAAAAAGAAAATCTATGAACAAAAATGAAGATTAGAGAGAAATTCTGCCAACAATGGTCTTCAGTCCAAGAAATGAAAACCTTCAAAGCAGACACTGTATTTCACCAAAACTGAGGGGAGAAAAAACAGCTTTATTTTTCTTTTTTATTTATTTATTTGCTTGTTTATTAATTTTGTGGGCAAGAAAATTATGTTGCTGCAGATAAAAAGGAAAAGCACAACTTTCCTCAACGAAGCTAATTTATTATTTTTACGAATGAAAAAAAAACTATCCCTACAGAATTTATCTAGATTTTAAGTATTGGAAAAGAAAAAAAATACTGGAATTCCGGTGTTATACTGGAACACAATCATCCCTGTAGAATGAATGCCAATTAACAAAATAAGACTAAAATATATAAATTGAAAATTCTTCAATTATTTCAAATCAAGGTGACAAATTTCAAGTCCACATGATTTTATAATTATTTATTCAGATCATTTTTTAAGAGATAGTACATGTCTAAGTGATCTTAGATGCATGAATTTGAAAGGTTATCATCTCAGTTGAAATGCAAGCTGTCTTCCTATCTTGCTTGGTCGTGATACAATTAATGTAGCATGACCTATAGTGTAATGAACAATATAGCTTACAAAAATCTCAATTTAACACTTTTAAATAGCCAGCCTTTATAAGTATTTAGGTGCCATTAATACAGGGCTGCCAACTACAACGTTTTTTGAAAATTATCTTATAGAGAGAAAAACAATTAAAAACTAAAGCTTTCAGAATTTTTGGTAATTCTGTCATTATTTTAAAAGCCTTACCACAAGACTGCTCTCGAAAAAGTGGCACGTTATATGAATCTTTCAATAATTTATGTGCAGTGGCCAGGAAAAATAACTTTAAATCAAATTTACAAAACAAAGAATCATACATTAAACCATAAATTTAGCTACTACTAGAAGACAAAGCAAAAAAACTTGGCATCCCTGTTACTATACATAAGTAGCATTTTTAAATTGCAAAGATTTCATGAGATATGAACATCTCTGTAATACAATGCAAATATGTAGCAAAAGAATTGCAAATAATTGACATCATACAATAAATAAAAATTATTTAGCCTTAGAAATTGTAATAGCTAGCCAGCAATGTAATAGCATGTAAAAATCACATTAACTTACAAGCTGATTTTGTGTCATAGCCATGTCATACACTTTAGCCCAACCAGTGAGAAGTGAATCATACGTTAAACTAGGTTCCCATCCATAAACTCTTAGAGAATCTTGAGAGCCGCTGAACATGCATAAACCATTGGAATGGAAGTACACACACCTAAATATAAAAATAGAATTTTTAAAGAAATAAAACTTTTTAAAATATTTATATACAGTTTAGAAGAAGAAAAAAATTTAATTTAAAACTGTTTCCGTTTTATCATAAAGTTAGTGTCTAGCTATAAGATATTTTCATCAATTCTTAAAAAGATTATCACAATTTTTGATACATACAAATTATTATTTGCGATCTTTGGAACAAATTATAGGTACTTTTACAATACAATATAGTTACAGCTGTCAGGAAAATTCTCCTGACACCAACTTAATGCAGTTTTTGTAGTTACAAGAATAAATCACTTTAAATAAAGGTGTGAGGTTAAGTAGTTAATGTAGGTTGGGAGAGTCATGACATTTTTTCAACTCTCTCCAATTGGATAAGGTTTTACTATTGCTACCATTCCAGCAGATAGCCTCAAACTTAGATTCAGGATCAATTTTCTTGATAGCTGCCAAATGCATGTAAGACTTACCGAACAGGCGGACCATCTCCTCCTGTGGTGGAAACTAGCTGAAATGATTCTAAGTCCCAAAACTTCACCGTCCTGAAAATGAATTTAAATAAAAATATTAAAACAAAATTAAAATTGCACTGATGAGAAGTAAATTAAAATACAGCAACTGACACCATACAACTATTTTTTAAATTCCAAAAAAGCGTGAGAGAAAAAGATAAATGAAAATGTTTATGGTGTACTCAGTTAACAGAAAATTGTAATCTGTATTTAAAATTTTGATGATTAATAAAATTCTAGATAATTTTTTACAATACCTATGCCATCCCATCTCCCAATAGAATTAAACAATATCATTTATATAACTCCCAAAGGATACTGCTATGATTGTCTAGTAAAAAGTTTTTTTTGTTTAAATTTATCTTTTTTTTTTTACCAATTTTGTATATATTTAATGGTGTATTGTATGTATTTACGGTGTACTCAGTTAACAGAAAAGATAAATATATGTTCTTAAATTTGGAAGTTAATAAAATTCTAGATCATTTTTGACAATACCTATCTCACCTCCCAATAAATTTAAACTATACGATTTACATAATTCCCTAATGGTACTGTTATGAATGACTAATGAAGCCTTTTTAATTTAAATTATCTTTGTTTTTTTCCCCTCCTTACACAGTTACCAATTTTGTATATATTTTAATTTATTTAAATTAATAAAAAAATTTGTAACTAGAAATAAAGAATAAATTTCAATATCATTATTATTTACATTTATTAAACTTACAAAAAACTTTCTTTATTAACTAAACAATATGTTTTAAGTAATTCCACAAAAAAAATTAATATTGACATTAAAAGCATAACTAACATATGCCCTATCCCGTAACAAACACTCATAAAAGGGCATACTTTCCTTAAAATAGTACATATACAAATATTTTAATGAACATAAAAAAAAATTTAAAAAAAAAAAAATTTACCTGTCAGCACTTCCACTGGCTAAAAGAAATTCATTTGGATGAAATTCAACTCCACTAACAGAAGCAGTGTGACCATGGAACTCTGTCAATAGTTTTCCTGCACTAAGATCCCACAGCTAAAAAAAAAAAAAAAAAAAAAAAAAAAAAAAAAAAAAAAGGTTTAAAAAATTATGAGATATTTTAAATGCAAGTGAAATATTATCTACATTATTCATAATAGTAAAAATATTTTCTTATAATACAAGATATTTTAAAGCTTTTTTATCACTACATAGGGCAAATAGGGAGCAAATAGCCCCCAATTATGCTTAATATTGACCCCATTGGAACATGCACCGAGGATTCAATATTGGGATGTTTAGATTTTTTAATATTGATCCTTGAATAGCCAATAATAGAACCTAAATTATATTGGCTAAATAATTAATATAAAATATCGGGTGAATCTGAAAATTCTATATAAGACTGATATTGGTTGTAAAGTGGCTGTAAAATATCGGGAGAATCAGACAATTCTATATAGAATAGAACTTAATATCAGAAAAATAAGGGCCCGTCGAACCCTCACTGAGCCAAGATTCATGAATATTGGTCCAATGAGAGGCACAAAATATTTTGCTACAAGGGTTACTACATGACTGTCTAAAAAACATTCTAATCTGTATGGGATTAGAGTACCATTTTTAGATGAATTTGAGATCCTCTGCCCTAAGGAAGAGTTGCTTTGTTTAAATGTTATTTATAAAGTTAACATAGCATGGGTCCTGTTTTTTTTTCTCAAGAAGTTCACTCAATACCTTTTTAAATACAGGATAAGAATTTAAATATTACCAGTTTTAAAAATTCATATTTGAAATTTTCAAATTTAACACCTATGACAAAATTGCATTTTTTTTTTTAATTAACACATTCGCTACTGATATTTCCATCCTCAGAAGTCGGATTACAAAACAGGGTTTTAATGGCTTAAATGTTCCTTATATTTTACTAGTAAAACCAGAAAAACGAAGAAACATATTATTTTCCTGTTTAGAGAGCGTTTTTTTTTTCGACGCTCGGGAGCGTCAGTGGCACACAGACTCAACCTGTCTTCGTGAGTGCCACTGACGCTCCTGCGCATCTTATCAATATTCTCCGAAATTACTGGCATATTGCATAAAATAGCAGCTTGAAAGGAATAAAACGGAATACCATTCAAGTATATGTAGTACCATTTATGAAACAATACTGAAAATATTTGCAAATAATAAACACAATATACAGATATTGGCAGTCAAGCACATAAAAAAATTCAAACAAAAGTTTTGACCACAAGAAATAAAAAAATAATGCTTCACTAACGTGCCGAAACAACCTCTCCGTTGAATTCCTAAAGCCACACTAAACACAGAGCATATAACTTATCATAGTCGATCGACGTGCTAGCGTGCCGTCGGCATACCAGTAGGTGCCGCTCTGATGCGCTAGTGCGTCGGTGGCAGCGAACGTGCTAATGCAAACTTTCCATGCTTAAATAAAAGTTTGAGATAGTGAAAAGTTTGTGCAATCAGTTACAATTATTTTGACTCATTAAAATTCTCAATAACACTTTTAAGATATTTTAAAAAAATTATTCATGTAAAAAATCTCTTTCCCTTCAATTCAGCCGAGAAAACATTGATTCATAGTCACCATATTTTTTAAGGAGCTATATTTTTTAGTTTAATTTATAAAGCAAAATAATTGTGAAACATAATAAACACATTTAATTATTAAAATTTCGAATTTCAAAAAAATTTTAAGAACTTACTTTAACTGACCCATCTTCAGCACCAGAAGCTACCCACTTGCCATCAGGACTAAATTTTACAGTATTAACAGCTTTATTATGGCCCTGGAAAAAAAATCGATTTCAATACTACTTTTTTTTTTACTGGACAACTAAGTCATATTTTTAGAAACAACAAAGAAAAGCTTACTGTATATGTGTAAATACACCCTTGTTTTCGAGCATCCCAAAGCTAAAATAAAAGGAATATAAAAAAAACTATAAGATATAGCAATGTTTAATAAAACTTTAAATATATATGTTTATTCGAATAAAACTTAATACAAATTGGAAAAAATAGTACATTAATAAAAGAAGATCAGCAAAGCTATCGAAGTAAAGTTGTTGTGTGTTAGGCAACCATATATTGTACAATTTGTAATAGTATTGAAATCAAAACAAGTAAACTACTACTCATGAAAATATAACCTTATAAGAAAATATGACCTCAAAAATATTACAAATAGCAAAGGTAATTTATTTTATGAGCTATATGTGTTTCAATTATGCAAAAAGTAAAATTAAAACAAGCTTTTTACCCTTATATTTGTGTCAAGAGAGCCTGAAACAATATAATCTCCATATGGATGAAAATCTGAACATCTTATGGATGATTTATGGCCTGTTAACGTCCTAACAACTGAAAAAAAGAACAACATTTTGTATTAATTTCAAGATGTAAAAAAAATATTAAAAAATAAAGTTACCAAAAAAATTAAACTCAACATTGAAATTATACAAACTAGAAGCTAACAAGAATGTTTAAATGAAAACATTTTAGTCTTATTATTGAGAAGAAAAGATATTTTCAAGCATTAATAAATCATTTGTTTGATTTTTATCATCAAATGAAATTATGTAACAAGCAAATAATCAAAAATACAATTTTAAATCAAAATGTTGATGTGGTAGCAGTTGCCTTTAACATTATGGCATTGAAGCAAACAGCTCTTGTCTGTGAGAGTTTCTTACTTTATCAAGTATTTATTCACAATATAATAAGTCATGGACACAATCTCTTATGACGATTATGCAAATTATCTTTCAACTTTAATTGCACTTCAATTATTTACATAATAAAAATTTCGAATGAATTCTAAATTTTGAAATGGCAAAGATAAAAGAATGCAAGTAGTAACAAAACAATAAAAACAGCAAGGAAATTAAAATAAATAAGTGAAAGAGATTTTCCAAAAGTGAACTCTTTACGCCTGAAAACAAACATTACATTAATTTGTATTCCCTCCATTTCCAGGACAATTACAATCTCAACAGTAAAAAATTTTTTCAGTGAAAAATAAAAAAAAAACAATTCACTTTTGGTCTCACCAGTTTTAAAATTAGTTATAATTGTTAATAAATTTCTAAAGTCATGTTTTGACCAGTTTACTGTGAGTTTCTGCATTTTCATTTTTGTATTATATTTTCAAGATTTTGTTTGAAATTTCTCTTCTGGTTTGATTTTATGTATTTCTTGCATTTTTCGTGAACTTTTACAAAACCTTTGGGATACTGAGGGGACAAATTTTGACCTTTGTCTTGCTCTCTCAATAGAAAAGGTTTTGTTCTATGGCTTGCGGAGCTGGTACCCCCTGAAGAAGTCGTCTTCTGTGGCCATATTTTTATTCCCATTGTTTTTCTTTATTGCTTCAAAAATACATTTGACTGATGATATCTTTAAAATATTTGAAAAACTGAATAGTCTACAGCTTATTTTAAAACACTAGATTCCACTGAACGAATGAGAAAATTTCATTTTTTAAATATCTCGGAATTTAAAATATAATTAAAAAATCAAAAATCGGGCTTTTTAATTTGTTTACAATTTTACTCATTTAGATTCATTTTGAATCTCGCATTCTTAGAACTTATGTACTCTCAATCCGGTTTACACAAAATAAGACGGATATACACAGAAATTCTTTATTTTATTATATATATATAGATTATTTGTTGCCCTTCTCGATAGATTTACATTATTAGATTCATAAAAACACATTTTTAGTAGACTAACTGCATTATTTAATATTATCTGGCATAATGCTGTTTCTCAAGACAACTCATGATATTGAAAATTTACTACAGCCAAGCTTTTTCCTGTAATTATATCGTCGGGGGGCCATAAGAAATCTCTTATAAAATTGGAAGGTATTAGTGTCAATAATATTATGACGACTTTTTACAGTGCCCTGTAACGAATAAGTACATTTTCTACATCAATTAAGCTTTTTAGTGCAGAGCTTTTTTTTATTTCAATTAGTAACTATTACCAAAAATAATTAAGCATCATTGATATCAATAAAAGTTTACCAATTTTTAATGCTCTCTTAACAAATTAGTACCATTTTTCAATTAGTTTTTCTTTTTCAGTACATGGCTTCTTTTTTACTTCAAACTGTAACTTTTACCAAAATTAATTATCATTGACGTCAATAATAATATTGGTGTTTTATTACTTTTTTTTCAACAAATTTTTATTATTTTCCTCCTAATTTTGATTTTCAGTTCAAAAATTATTTCAATTACCATTCATTTTAAATTATTTAGTTTTACAAAAATCCATTTTAAAAGCATAACTATAAACAAAATAAATACGCGGTTTCAAATAACCTTGAAAATATTAATCATGTATAAAAATATTAATTTCTTACTTTTTGAAGCTTCCAAATCAAACACTTTTAGAGCACCAGAAAATGAACCAGCACAAACCATTACTTCTCTGGGATCAAAGCAAACACAGTCAACGGGAGTTGAGTGACCCTTCATACTCTAAAGATATGAAAAATTTGATATTTTTGATTAGATTTACAATATAAATAATAAAAATTTCACAAATTTGTCAGCTTTCTAAGCAAAATTGTTTGCAACAATTAATATAAGATTAATATGGTTATATTAAAAATAAAAATAAGAAAATAATACATGCTTAACTGGTACAACAAACAATTAAATTTCCTTGCCCTATCTGGTTAAAAGGTCTCTTAAGAGAAAGAAATTGTAAAAGAAATTTTCACTGGGAAAACACTACTAGGAATATATTTCACAGTGAAAGCACTACTTCGACACACTTACTTACCTACAAAAACTTTTCTATCCATTGTTACATTTTCCTAGAAAATGTTTTCAAGAGTTTTTCTCGTGCAATATAAGTACTTTACTTTCGGATTACCACAAGCAATTTGTAAATAAGTGTAAAGAAGTCCTACCCTTGTACAAAAAATATGGGTACCTAGTACTACTACCCTACAAGTAATAGAGCCTGATGAGAAAAAAAAGAGCTAAACGGCTGTATTTGCACTATTGGACTACCAGCTATATAACTGCATTAATTTAAAAAGAAAATATGCTCAAAGCAAATTTCTCTTTAGCAATTAATGCTTAAACTTAATAATTAGTAAATAATGTTTTATTTCTAAAAACAAACACTAAATCTATCAACATTTTGAAAATAATTTTTTTCTACCACCTGTACAATGCAGAGCCTACTATAACCTGTAAAGTGCTGCATCGTACACAAATTACACCATATAGATTTAATATACCTTGATAACATGAGACCAAATATATATATATGTGTGTGTGCATGTATTTAGTGAAGGAAAAATCTACAAGCAACTGTGATCAAATAAGCAACTGTGATATAAACAATGATATTGTGGAGCTTTACAGTTTTATCCCAAGCGAAAAACAAGACCAATATGAGGACGTGAGAGATTAAAAATAGGATAAAAATATAATGTTCCAAAATTTAATGTTAGTGAAACTTAGTAACTCACAATACAAAAAATACAAAAAAATTCTGTCTGCTAAACCTACCTAAATAGGTTTCGCTTTATTTTATAATTGGTAAATGCACAAGGTTGTTGAAATTTTCTTCCTACTTTTTGAGGGTTCGATCAAACATTTAGTGTAAGGCTATTAATAATGTTTTTCAAAGTTTTTTCACCAAGGAAAATAAAATACCACAATTTAAACCATCAAACCATAAAGAATTACCTGGGCTTTAGAACAGACAAATAACTTAAATATTTTAAATGGTATTAAATTATTTTTAAAAACCGCTAGTTAGACAATATTTTTCTACCTAGATGAAAATTATCAAAGTCAAAGAATAATTCTCAATTTTCGAAAATTTTTATGAAGCCTGATACAACTTTGGACTAACTTTTTAAATATTAAAAAATTAGATCAACAACATTTTCAATTTTACCAAAATTGTAGTATTTTTTCATATTGACGTTATGCGCAATTTTCAGATTTAGAATAGAGTGTGCTTGTTAAAGATTGGTTAGCTTGACCTAAAAATCATTAATAATGGTTGTATAAGTCACAGTAGTTATAAAAAATAGTATATTATTCGCAAAAATGAGTTATTTCATCCCTGCGACGACAGAGCCTTTAAAAAAACAGCCTTAAATTGCTGTTGCGGAAAAACAGTCTTAATAGCATGCAGTGCCCCCAGGTACATAAATGTTTTTGGCTCCTATAAAATGTCATGATGTTTAAAATCGAACTAAAAAACATACCAAAAAAACAAATCGAACCATACATAAAATAAAGCATTAAATTATACAGATTTTTTTTTTTTAAAAATGAGAGGTTGAAGTGAGGCGATCCTGAAATAATAAAATAATTTTCAAAACCATGGAAGCTATTTAAAAAAAAATATATGAATTATTTCGTCAAACTTAACTGTTATTAAAGCATCTTTTGATGAACATCAGACATAACTAGTTTAAAAAGTTGCTGCATAGTGCAGTGTAATTCTAAACTCCTTTCAATTATTACTAAATTTAACTCAATTTAAATATAATTTTAGATACTAAACAGAGTTGGTGACGGTCAAGCATTTTTAGAGAAATTATTACTTAATATAAAACTTGCACACATTTATTTATTTTACATAGATATTTTTTCAGGAACACATGGTTTTTTAAACATTTTAAAATTACAAATTTATAATTGTTTAAAGTGATGCAAATTCACTTCAGTAATTAAACGCAAAATTGTGAGAAAATTTAATTTTTCTATTAAAAATATGCTTATATAAAAAAAATATATTAAAATTATTGTTAAAAAGATTTTTTGAAAAAATTGTTTGGTTTAAAACAGCTTGCTCAACTCTGCATTAAAATAATGTACTTAGAGTCATGAAATACTTTTTTTTTTGCTAAATAGTTGCCTGTTTTTTAATACTATACTTACATAAAATAATTATTGTATGACATTGACATTAAAACACAACGTAACGTTGGTTACAAAAATGTTTTTAGAAAATATTTTTTTCTCAACCTAAAATTTTTAAACGCAAACAATTTAAGAAAAACATTTGTAAGATACGATTTAAAAAATAAATTAAAATCACAAAATAAAATAAACTATAATTTTTTCCTTGCTACTGGTCTAGTTTTAAAACATATGCCTTGCCAATCAGCGATCGACATACCCATTTCTTGAAATTGTCCCCTTTCTATTTAAACCTACATCCATTGAATTTGGATGGGTGATGTTGCCCTGAGGAATGGGTGTATTTTCAAAAAGCAATGCTATTGAGGTCCACTTCTTAATTCACAAATCTTCATATAAATAGCCTCTTGAACTAGTATAATTTATAGCTGTGTTTTTTTTTTTATTACTTGCCACAGGGGGTCCCTAGGACTTCCTGATGTTTTTGAAAGCAAGGACAATTGAAGTAAAAAAAGACAAGACAGGGTTCGTACGTATCTGGAAAAAATAAAAAACTGGTATCATTAAAAAGTTTATATTAACATTACAGCCATTTATTTTTTTCTAGGTGCGTATGAATCCTGCAGGCGCAAATAGAACTGGAAGTGAGAGATGAGTACATAAAAACGTCATTGAAACCATGGGTGAAAGCGAGACGGAAAAAGAAGAAATGCCCGTAGTAAAACCATTTCAGTTTTTAACTTGTTTTCGGGAGGAGTAAATTTATTCTCTTCTTCAAACTATTCAACAATAACTTTTTATTGGGAAAGATGCGGTTTTATATAGATGTAAAAAAAATCTCGGTAGTTGCAGAAATTAAATTTTTACAGAAAAAAATGCTACTATGAAATGTCATTCGTACCAGATTTTGCACTTTTCCGTATTAGTATATATAGACTTTCAGCCCAGATTGAAACGTAAAAAATATTTCGGTTGCCTTTATAAGTTTTTCTGGTGATATATTATACAAATTATTGGTGTTAGCATTATAATTAATCGCTATTTGTAGAAAGGAAAACAAATGCACACTTTATACACAAAAAAAATATATTTATTTTAAAAAATATATATGGCAATGTTGTTGATTCTTAGATTTTTAAATATAATTTATAAAAAAGATTATCAAGGGCCCCCTGAGTGCCTGGGACCCCGGGGCACTGACCGGGTGTGCCCATGCGTGAAGACGGTACTGAGCGCCGCCGCTCATTATAATGCAAATATGTCCTTAAACTGTTTCAATTTTTTCAATAAAATTTTATTTTAAACCATTTGTTTAAAAAGTAACAAAACACGAAGAAAAAATGAGCGTTCTACGGCAGCGGGTAAGCTGCCGTAGTAATGCCATTTTTTTCTTTGTGTTTTGTTACTTTTTTGTAATGCTCCGCGGTAGGGTAAAAAGGATTCCAAAAATTAACACTTTTTTTTTTAAAACTTTACAGCAATAATTTTTGAAATCTGTATTTACAGATCTCATTAATATTATATATTTAATATTTTGGTCGTCTCTATAAAATTATTTCAAGTAAAATACTAATAAAAAGATGGCTAATATAAAAAAATATTTTTCTAATAACTGTGTTTATAATAAATTATGTAAAGGACCTGCATTAAAGAAAATTTGCATTAGTATTTCTCATAGCACTCTTGAAACTAAAATAAAATAGTAAATTTGCTAATAAAGAAGTATGTTTCCCTGATTACCCATTTTCAGTGTTTATAGCGGTTCTTTTAGTTTTCATTTCAACAAAAACCATAATTTGGTTAATTTGTTTCATTTCCAGCTTACACGAAACACAAATTTAAAATTTAATTAGTTAAAGTTCCATGAGTGCGAATTCAATTGATAGCTATAAAACCGAAACTAAAATTATGATTCAAAAAAATTCTATACATCTTATCAAATATTTTCAAGATAATGTTTTTTTATTGGTTAATACGTTTAAAATTGGTTTTATATGCTTTATTTTACAGTATTTTTTATATATTTTATCATTTATAAATTCGATCATTTAGAGTTCCACAGTCGAACGAAAATTGGGAACCACTGTTTTATTCCAATATAAGTTGATGTAAACAAACTCATTAAGAGAGATGAGCTGTAGTAATCAATGCCAGCTAATTAGTCATGGACATGAGCCTTGCCGGTAACCATCAACTGTCTAGTGCGGATGGAAAAAGGATGAGGGAAAGAAAAGGTTAAAGAACGAAATGACCTTGAAATAATAGGTTTGTAACCACACGAAGTGGAACGATCCACGTCACGAATGAGAATTTTGATTACCGGGTGAAAATTGAAACAGCTGTAACACAGAAAAAAAAAGGGAAGAAACTGAAATAGAAAACAAAAGTTGATGTCTCTTTGGGGGCAAAGGACGGACAGTGGATGCGCAAGCCCTTAATCTTTTTTTTATTTTCATGGTCAATGTGCCAAATAATGTTACGAATCGAATCGCAAGGGAAAAAGTATCCAACATCCAGTTATGGAAAAGCGTGTCAAGGTAGCCGCCTTTTCGCCAACAGCCACATTTGGAAGTAGTCATACT